GCTGCCTCCCCGACAGCCCGCTGGGAGGAGCTGGGAGCGCCGGGGCTGCGTCTGGAGTCCTGAAGTGGTCCGCGTGGCACCCGGGGCTCGAGAACATCGTCAGGGAGACGCCAGGGCAGGTGCCTGTGGCCACTGCGGAGCAAAGGGGAGCAGCTCAGCTGGGGCGCGGCTGGCGCTCAGCACGGCCGGGGCAGGAGCCTGTGCCCTGAGCAGGGCCATCGTTCCACCACAGACACCGGATGTAAACAGAGGTGCCCGCCTCCGGTGCGGTGCAGGGAGGTAGGTGGGCAGTGCCCGCTCCAGGTAGCGAGCCAGGCAGACCTGCCCCCGCCAACAGGACGGCTGTGGGCCTGAGCGGAGGGGGCGCTATGACCGCCCGCTCGGCCTCACCTCTTGCCTTTGCCAGTGGAGGGACAGCGAGGAGGAGACCTAGCTCCCAGCCCTGCTTCCGTCTGAGGACGCGCTATGGCTCGCGGCCTCACGCGGCGGAGGGCACGTGTGTGAGTGTGTCTTCCGGGGCTCAGTCCTGTCACGCTGAGAGCCCTGGGCTTGCCTGGTTCCAGCCGCCCGACAGGGCAGCCGCTGGCCTTTGTGTCTGAGCCCAGCAGAAGCGCCTCCAGCATTACCTGCAGACCCGGCCCCTTCCTCGGGCCCGGCTCTGGGGGCCCCAGGTGCCCTGCTGCCGCAGCCCCGCGTACTTCTCAGCCTGTAGGAGAGAGCCCGCGGGTCAGCCTGCCAGCCCTCCAGCACCAGGAGCTGGACCCCAAATCGGGAGCTCCCACTCCCCCCCACCCTGACCTCCGTGCTGGGACTGTGCTCTGCTTCCCTCCCTGCTCCAGCTGCCCCAGAGCGCAGCCCTGCAGAGAGGAGCCGGGGAGGACCGTGGGGGAGCGATGGACCGGGTGCGGCTGACCGGTCAGGGCTTCTACGTCAACAGCAAAGATCCTGGCGGGGGTGCAGCGGTGCTGGTCTAGCTGCCGCCTCAGGCAGCCTCACGTGCTGCTGGGTAAGCCTCACCCACTCTGCCTGCCTCTTCCGTGGCGGCTCCCTGCCTGCCTGCGGAAGGCTCCCTGGCCGGCCTGTGACACCGGCCGCTGAGGCCGCACACGCTCGGGGTGGGGCAGGCCTTAAATGGTGCTGCTTTACATCCGTGCTACCATCGTCTTACACGCCAAGATGACTCGCTCCCCACAGGAGGGCACAACCGCACCGCTGGGGACCAGGGGCTTGGAGAGGACACCCCTCCTGCTCTGCCCGCGGGCCGGCCTGCACGCGGCAGTGGACAGGATCTATGACGGCTCGCCCGGCGGGCGCACACGGGGTCAGGCAGTTGCACTAGCCCTTTGCCTGGGGTTCGGCGGCCGGCTGGCTGAGGGGGCTTTCTGGGGTGCGCGTCTCTCTAATCGGAGCGCGAGCTGCTGCCATGGCCCGGTCTGGGCTCCATCACAGGACAGAGCACGTGGGTCCACTGAGGCCCCACGAAGCAGGTGT